GTCTCATTGTAAGAGCTGACATGCTTCTAGCGTAGAGTGTAGAGTGTGTAGAGTGAGGTGTTGTAGCGATACGATTCTTGGCGGTTTCCTGTATTTCAGAAAAGACCACTCGACCAAGCCAGCCTGGGCGGCAGCTGCTCCAGATTTCAATGAGTGGCTTCCCAACAGATGTCGAGACAGACCTTTACCGAAACACAGTGCATGCACGGATGAGACGCCGTACAGTGGCCACACTTGACTGATGCAGCTTTTGGCACGCCGTTGCGGAGGAAGTGAACTGAAAGCACGTGTCGAAGGCTGCTCAATTCACTTGCAGGAGATGGGGGGTTGCTCACAGATCGGGTCTGCTATGGAGACTCGGTTTTGAAGCATGAGACAAACATCGAGCAGGCCCTCACTTTGAGCAAAGCTTGTCTTGCACCCTCGTTTTGTACTTCTCCCGTGTCATGAGCAAGCAGCCTCTGAAAGCACAGGGGGTAGTGGATACCTCGAGCACCAGCTGTAATCAGCCTCGATCTGGTTGGGGTTGGTGTGGAAATTCGTGATAAACTCTTCTGGAGTTCACTCGAAAGTTGAGACAAAGATTGCTGCACAATTTTCAGTCGAAGGTACGACCTGCCATGCTGACGATTCTGTTCCAGCCAGGCTGACTGGTCATCCAGTGTGCATCCTGGTGTGGTTCAATGTGATTTTGGGATTACAGCACGGTGCGATGTCGATTCAAAGCTTACTTGCCTCGGGGAAGGGCCTGTCAAGAGAAATACTTTCGAATCTTAGATCCCGAGAGCGCGGCGGATAGCAAAATCGGTTCTATGCAGGACCCCTCCGCGAGTGTGGACTTCGCCTAAACATGGCAGAAAAGTTCCATCGGGCACTGGCTCAAAGAAAAGATTCGTCCATGAGTTTTTAGGGCTTTGGGTTTGTTCTGCTAGCAGGCAAATGGATTAGAGGCTGAAGTCGAATGCCTTACAGAGGCAACGACCAGCAAAAGCGTGCAAGTCACTTGAAAGCTGCGGGCATGTTCCCTCCGCCTGTACCAAGATCCATGCTATAATAATAGTACTCGTAATAATAATAACAACAATAAGAATAATAATAATAAGAATAAAAATAATAATGATAAGAATGATAATAATAAATATAACAGTAATAATAATAATAATAATGAGAATACTGACGAACCCATTGTTTTCGGGGCCTTGCTGCCCTTTCATCGAGGCATCAGCAGAACCGGTCCGCAGCGTTCTGGGAATTTCGAGGTCGAGTCGGTCAAAGGTCGGATTTCAAGGGTGGACAATGGGAGCTAGGATTAGGGGGACGCTTGGGGATATAGACCCTCTCAATAAGGTCCCTTTTAAGAGAGCCACAAGTAGGGTTCAGAAGGGCTAAGGGGTACCCCTAATAATACTACCTAGACAAGGAAGGGCGGGGTGTTCTTGAGCTCCCGCGGAATGTCAGCTTCTGTAACTTGGGCCCCTCTGGCTCGGCAAGAGTTCACAGAAACGCGGGGCCGCGGGGCGTGCGCGGATCAAGGCAAGCGGTGCGGGTCCTTGGTTGCTCCACTCGAATCCCAAGATTTCCGGCAGTCGGGGTCTGCCCACGGGCCCAAAGTCAACAACTCGAAGCCCAACATGCCTTAAAATCCAGTAGGATCCCGAACATGATTTAAGAATTTAAGGTATATTCCTTAATCAAGGCGTATTGGAGTCCCGAGAGTCGGTGTCCTGGCGAGGCCCCAGCATGGCTCCGCCAAAGCTCCCGGCGATCGCCGGGCGTCAGGGCGGTCCACCGACTAACCATGGCCTTGGAAAGTTCAGTGGATTCCTATAGTCTGCATTGCAGTTCCTTTTTTGGGTTTAACCAATTAATTATATATTCAGGATTTTATAAGGTATCCCCAGAAGGAACTACAATGGAGACTATAGGTTTTTTTTGTAGCCGAGCATTCAGCATCCATATCCCACGAGGTATGTGGGCGAGTTGGTAGAGCGAACCGGGGCTGCATAGCACGCTTGAAAGCGGTAGCACTTCGCAAAAGCAGGGTGCATGAACATTTCGACTAAATCCCCAGATGAAGCTAGCATGGCAGCTCCCATTATTTCCCACGTCGGGGTGCAAAGGAAAACATTCAATCCATATTCTTCAGAGATGAGACGCATGCTGTTGTGACTCCAGCCCGGCAGGTGGCTGTTTTCAATGCAATATGGAGAAGTGTGCATGGATTCATGGTTGTTCTTGTGTAGTACCGGTGTCGATGTTGTGTACATGTTGCGGACTCAGGCTCAGGATAAGCATGAACACTAGGGCCTACGGGACGCAAGTAATGCCAACATCCTTTGAATTAGCTTGCGGACAATGGCCACAGATTCCGATTCTGTAGAAGATCTGGAGTTGCTGGAGTTGAGCTGCGTGCGGGTCTGCATGTCTCGTCTCAAATCTTTAGAGCATCTTCCTGTTCCTGTTGGGTTCGACATGCCACCACAAAACTAAGAACCCTACATCACCAACAAACCCCGTGCTTAAGCGCTCATCTTCTCCCAGCTTGTCTTTCGTGCGTGCGCGGTGCCAGTGTCGCGATAATCGGGGCTGTGGGACTGCAGGAATTTCGATGAACCGAGGTCTTGACAGATCAGCCTCGCAGCCCCGGATCGAGGCGAAGCATCGCCTCCAGGCAGGAAGTCTCAGATGATTCCAGACCGGAAAGCCTGAAGAGATCCATCCCGACAACATGCACCGCACGGAGCGAGCTTGCCGTCCTCGCGCCGCAGCCACTGGCAGGTGCCCGATTTTCGGCGCGGCGACATCTCGGACAGCTTACAGGACGCGGCTGTTCCTGCCAACTTTCTAGGGGTAGGGTGAAGGGTGCTACAGTGCTGCTGCAGGTCGGGGCTAGGGCTGTCTGACATAGTCGCTCTTCGTGACGTCTACCGTGGTGCCGGGGGTCGAAAGAAAGAGAAAACGACAGAGAACGAGGACGAGAGAGAGCGAGATACGGATGCCTTTGAAACATCTGCGTTTCTATATATCTATATACAGTTATATATTTTATAAGATACAATATAATTGTATATTTTTTTATAGTGTATAATATACAATATATATATATATATACATATAGTTATATAAATTATGATATACAATGTATACATACATACATACATACATACATACATACATACATATATACATACATATACATGTATATGTATATATATATATATATACACACATTACACATGTTTATTTATGCTTATTATCTCTCTTTCTCTTTCTCTCGCTCTCTCTCTCTCTCTCTCGCTCTCTCTTGGTCGCTCTTTTTGACAGTGCGATAGAGGCGAGTAGTAGCGGTGCGGACTTGCATGGCATGGGTCTTTTTGGCATCCCACAGTCCTGCGGACATCTCAGGAGATCGGCCAGCTGTCAAGGACAATCATCGGTCCTGGTGGAGTCAGCAAAAGTGTGCGAGCATCTTGGGAAATAACAGATTTAAGCGTTCCGGGCTCGGCTCGGCTTGGCCCGTAATTTTCCGCTTGGTATTTGGACCAAATGTACCTGTGTTATCCTGTGTTGGGCCTTGAGTTTGACATGGTGCCCGACGGACGTCAGTGTTGCTGCATCGCGGTGTAGTGTAGTCGTAAGACAAGGGAGCAACGGATGTCCGGTATCCTCGGAATTTCTACGTTATTTGAACGTGTAGTACGTATGTGGACAGTAGTGCATTGTACTATCAAGTGCTTCTAAGGCACTTACCAAGTCAGCATCTACGCCGGAACTGCGGACAGGTCTGACACTCGAATGGGCCTATGATCAAGCGTGGGTTCACCAGGTTGTGTTTTCAGGGCTGGCGGGATGCGGGGAGCTTCAATCACTGTGTTACTGGAGGTTTTCAGAAGTTTTGGCAGAGGAACAATGCCAATTCCGGACTTAGTCATAGTCGGTTGGGCACACCCTGTCAAAGCTGGCAGTGTTCTGCGAGTGCTTGATAGCTTGGCCGACGGCCAACACAGGGTGAGCAAAACGAGTACGACGTGCAGTTGCAGCGGCAATCCTACATGCTTTTTGCGGTAAAGCCGGACTGCTGATATAAGTGTCGCCGGCGAACATGATTGTCAACTGCAGAGTCCGTGCGTTCTGCTGTCCGGACACTCGCCAAACCATAGTCTCGCACCTCTACTGGGTCCTTTGCCAAAACCATCTCCTTCTCTTTAAGCGTTGGGTCCATCCCCACCCATCCAAACCTGAAGCCCCCCCGGATGTTCGGCGGTGATTTCGGGGCGAGAGCTGGGCAGGACTTGGCAGGTGTCGGCGAGTGTGGGCTGGAATTTGAGTCAGCCAGCATACAGTAGTCTGCGCTGGTGGGCGAGCGAGTGCATGTCATGTGGTTGCTCGCTTTCCTCGGTCCATGGAAAGACATGTATCGTTTTGCATAAACACGTTGAACAGCTGATGCCTGAAGGTCCCCGCAAGCGCGCATGTGTCCATCATGTGTCTGTTACGTGTTTTTGAAAACATGTTTGCAGAGAGCCGTGAAGGCAAAGCTGCATTCGGGTCGTATACCGTCGGGTCGCGACGAAGGTTGCCCGGGGCGACACCGAAGCCTGCTATGAAAAGGAAGCCAGCATCAAGACAGTGAAAGAGAAAGGCATGACTTTCACACATTTTGAAGAGTCCGAATCCCTTCATCGCAGGTCCGCTGAAGGCCTCAGATGCAGCGCGGCGGGCCCATGTGGCCGCAAAGAGGATGGTCTGTGCAACTGTTGGATTGATTTCGATTTTCAGGGCCGCAGTCAATCGAGTTCCAGGGCTTCGATTTTGGACCATCTCTGCATGGCCTGGTATCATGGCACCAGGCTGTCGGACTTGTGCCTGCAGCCCCTGGAGGATACGGCCAAGCCTCAAAGCCATCATGACCCGAAGCTCATACTTCCAGCCGAAGCTAAAGCTCTGCGAGCACGGAGCATGCGTGGCTCGAAAGCATGAAACCACGTATTCTCAAGGTTATGCTTTTCGGAGCTCCTTTGCAGCTCGAAGGGTCCGCGACGGTTGCGGGCCCAGTGCATCGGACCGCTTGTCAATCCCATCCACTTGAGGGTCCGATGTTGAGGTCGGTTCTGTGTGTAAGTTGGGCAAGCCCTTGTTTAGTTTGTGACGGTCTCGTGCATCACTCACAGGGTTCCTTTCCGGTCGGGCGTTACGTCTTTTCAATTCTGGCCGTCAGAGTTCGTGTCAACGACAGATCCGGCTCACGCAGATTCCATGCTGCAGGCTAGCGTTTCCGATTCCGCCCAGATGAGCTTCTCCGAGCTGGGGGGAGGCTGGCCTTGTCTAGAGTCTAATCCTAAGCTGCGTTCTACTGTACGGCGCTGCTCTACTAAACTGTGACAGCCCCTGCAAGCTCCTCCTAACGGGACTCGTTGAGACTAAATGTATCATCAGAGTGCTGAGTGCTCGACTTCTTCTTCCACAAGTCCAGGTGCCTACCCGCCTAGCACGACATGTGCTCGCCCGCCACAAGAGCTGCCACCAGAGGTGCCAGCTATGCAGGAAGTACCTCGTCGTCATGACTTGTGCAGCATTGCATTTCAAGCTTGGCCGTCCCCGCTTGACGTGGATAGCATGAACTGAGCCTGCAGGCTGAGTTCATCAGTTTTCAGACGAGCCACCCGCCATGTCATGAAACTTGCGAATCGAGCGTCTTTAGATCAGCCGAGGCAACCAACATCATGTTTACCCTTTCTGTGCGCTAGAGACTTTGAAAATGCCGCGAGAAAGCCAGCTCGAGCACTGCAACTGCTGAATCGAAAGCACCTTCGCAGCTGCACATCGCCAACGTCTTAACTGCATGGAATGGAACCAACCCTCGTGCCAGTACTATGCCGTGTCTAATTGGACAAATTCGGTGCTCCTTTGTTGGTGCTGGCTGATTTTTGACGACCCGCAAGCCCATTAGACAAGAAGTTTGGCAAAGCAGGGCTGATGATGAGATCGAACGATAGGCCGATAGGCTGAAGCCTGTAAGGACACCTTAGACTACATGAAGCCTGCGGAGGAAGCGCACCTTGGCATGTTCGCTTCAGGATTGGTTTCGGAGTTGTGCGATTTGGTGAAGGAAATTTTGTGCATTCGTATTCGTACGGGTATATTTTCATCCGGCTGAGAGTTGGACAGACCTCTGCTTCCGCGGCTTTGTTGTCGTCGTGCAGCCTATCGCTGTTTCCTGCTTGCAATCACACCGGCGAAGTCTGACCCTCAGCTCGCCGCATCTAGAACGCCAAGGCATTACAACTTCCGAAACCTCCCGCTGGAAATCTTCGACCATGCAGAGGACTTCGAAGTCAAGACTCCGCAGGAGTGGATGGCGGAGGCCTCCGGGTTTCTCAAGCCACAAGGGCGCCAAGCGTCAGATTGATGGATTGCCGGCAGCTGATCAGATGCATTCTGCCGGCGAGTGCACGGCACTTCCGGACCGTCTTTCACGTAGGACCCGTCTCCTCATAGGCCTCTCCTCGAACGAACTGTGTACCTCGAATCAGTGCAGGATGGTCCCGGCACCAGTTCGAGAACGATTTTCGGGAAGGGCTTTCAATCTGCATGGGCTGTGGTGTTTCCCTGGCACCGAGACCAACAATCCTCATACACATACCCGACACCTCTTCGTCAGGGGTGTCTTCTCGCAGGTCCAAAAGGACGACCGCAGACCACAGGCCTGTGTTGTACACTACAAAGCACCCTGGTTGGCAAGGTAAGGGCATGGTGTGTCATGTTGCTTCAAGTCTTGACGTCGGCCTCGCCTGAGAAGGTGCCCGGGGAGCATGAGGAGAGCAGGTTCTTTATGCTGTTCGGTCAGCGGTGGGTGTCCAAGGCCAAGAAATGGATCATGGCTCCATGCTGGGTCCTCCGCTATGAAGAGGCCATCAACAGCACCTTGGCAACAGGAATTTCTTGTGGAAAAGATCGGCCCGGGCTCGGACTTAACTTGCGGAAGCTGCGGGCAATCGGGAGTCTGTAGTCCTCCTCGGGTTGTTCTGCCCAGGGTTACGCAGTTCATGGGGCGGAGCACTGGCACTGAGGCTGCACATTCTTCGGGGTTTAGGCATTTGCAGGTGAAACACAACAAGGAGGGCACACTTGGTCACTTGGCAACACGGATGTGTAGAACAGAGGCCGAGCATAGCGTGAAAGGCCCTGATGAAACGAATGGACACAAGGCATCATGCAACCCAAGCCCGTGTAAGTCTCATGAGCCGCTCGTTACCGCAGCCGAGGATATATTGTGGAAATGGAGGATGCTTCTCAGAAGAAAGTGAAGCGCAACTTGGATTGGAATCACGGACGAAGCCTTTTGAAATGCTCTAGCCTGCAGTTGACTGCTGTGCTTGATCTGAGTTGCAGCATCTCCCACATCCCCAGCTGGGTACATTTCTGGTTCGAGCATGTCAGCTGCCCTTGTTTGAAAGTTCCTGTTCTATGAATTCCAGAATCACCCAGCACAGCACTGTGTTACTTGGTTCTGAGTGTCGAGCGGTGGTCGGGAGTGGGTGCTGGAAGCTGCTGGATGCTGCTGGATGTCGCGAGAAGGCCCTTACTTGACAAACCCGTGGAGTGACTAGTGACTAGTAACTAGTCGCCCTGACGACGTAGCGCCGTCGAGCACACCTGATCTCTAAACCCTAAACTCTAAATTTCCTGAGGCCTCTCTCTCCGTTTCAACGCCGAAGATCCGGCCAACTTTGAGCGGCGCGTAGAGACATGCAGAGGGCGCAAGGTGGGCGCCGATCTGCTCCGTGAAAATATTGCAGCAGAGGAGTTTGGACGTAGAGCCAAGCTTGAGTTCAGGATCTACGGATGACATCAGTCCCCCAACAGTTTGAACAGGCTGCATGGAACCCTTGCGATTTGCTTTTGAGTCCATGGCCGCTTTGGCCTTCGCATCCCCTGGAGCCCCGGACCCAACTCCACTATCCCGGACCCAACCGTAGAAGCCTTACAGTGCTACATGCCTCCAGCAGGCCTGGTGCGAACTCCAAGAGGCTTTTATAGACTACATCGAGCACAAGGACCTGCCGTCTCCGAAAGCCCATCAGGGCGAGGGCCAGGGCGTCCAGGGCACATGCACATCGGGCTCTGAATTAAACCAAGACTGCTTCATGTAAGCAGAAAGGCAGCGGAAAGATAGCATCTTCAAGTCAGCTTCAAATCCGTTCCTGGTGCATGCTGCAGCTACGACATGCTAGCGCTGAGCTTTGGGACTCTGCAAGTGCTTCAGAGTTCCCCTGGCCGGAGGATGACAAGCTCGTCACCCCGTTTTCACGCTCGATGAAGGAATTCTTCATCAGATCTTGTGCCCTGCCTCATAGCTGACCTTCAAGCAGTGTACGAGTTCGTTGAATGGCCACGGTTACCACATCTTGAGTTTGCAGAAAGTTCTTCGCAGCCCATGGCTTGCAGGCCTCAGAGACGCAGCTGTACCCGGGTAGCATAGTTTTGTTGTTGCGTGTTGCCCCAGTTGTCTCAACCATATGTGTGTTTACTCTCGGCAATCTGAACGTTCCACTGAGCTACGCCGCTACGCTCGTGAGAACTACATCAGGAGCGAGATGGCTGCCCCATTCAGGCAGCTGTGTGAAACACACCCAGTGCCAACCGAACCCGTGGGAAAGCCATGCAGACGCAAGCACCAACAAAAAGCGCTCCAAACAAAACACATAGTTACATGGAAACTGAAGTCCGTAAACTTCATTCGCCTGGATTGTCCGATTTGTGAGAATGTACACTTCCTTCGCATCATAAACATTGCTGTCACTGTGAAAAGTTTTGGGAATGTCCACTTCGTAGTTACGGGAAATAATACCTTCTGGACTTCCGAACTCGCCTGACTTGGTCCAGTGAGGTGGCGTGGTAGGAGCAGCCACAGATAGCTCCACGTTCCGTTTCGCCAAGCTCCCATTCTTCTGGTGTCCAAGACATGATTGGTCTTGGAGCAATTTCCGGAACGACACAGCAATGAAGCATGCAGATTCAGATGCAGTTCAAGATGGGCTTGAGCTGTCACCGGAAGAGTAAAAGCAGGCGGTCAGGCGGTTGCTATCAAGACAGATTTTCGTTGAATCAAGTGTCTAGGCCCGACCCTCTGACAGAATGCCGGTCGACAACGCACTTGGACACTCCCTCTCCGGAGCAATTAGAAGTCGGTTATAGAAGAAATCGCAGGTTCACAGAACTGGCCAAGTTCTGCTTCCCGTGAGATCAGGTAGCTTCGTTGTACGTGGTCCCTGATCTCATGCCACGTCCCCCGCATGAACAATGTCCCTTTGTGTCCTGGGTGTGGCACACACGGACACGCCCCAACAAGCAAGGAAGCAAACAAGCAAATCCACGAACAGACAACCAGACTACCAAAACGCACGGGCGCACTCGCTTCTTCCTTCAGTCACTCAAACAAGTGTGGCGGCAGATGCAGACAGTCACAGACAGGCACAGATAGACGATACAAGCAACAGTCAAAAGAGAACCACCCGGGGGTATCCGAAGAATTTGTTGCCTGGAGTGTAAGAAGGTGAACTCTGCAGTCTGTCTTCGATGCCTGTTCGCTCTTCCAAAGTCAGAGGATACTCAAGGTATCCGAAACTAAGAACTGTCGGAAGGTCTTGAGAAGTGCAGCCTTGACGAGCCGAACAGCCATGCCAGCACCATCCGTGAGCTCATGGCAGAAGTCGATGCGAATCTAGGCTGGCACGGTACGCCATGTTTCCAGCAAAGTCACAGGCCAGCCGTCGACAATGCTAAGGGCTAGGGCGAGACAGGCCTTTACATCATGGCTGTCTTGAATCGGGTCTTGCATGTTGTGCAAGAATCGACCAGTGGCTTGTCGGGCTCCGAAATGCGGTTTAGCTTTCAGCTTTGCTTTTCTTTGTTCATCACAGTGCACACTGGAAGATTCGCTGAGGAATTACATGCTCTCGATGAAGCTGTCGCTTGGCATGTGATGACAGACTTGTTAAGACCACCCGCGCTCTGCGTTATTTTGTTGGATATCCCGTGATATTTCCATGGTTGGATCAGGTCAGACGTGGACCCAGCGCATTCATAGGGCTCTCGAAGTGTATTTTGGCATTCTGTCGCAAGCGTAAGCGCCGCTAGTGCTCAGCACTGCCTGGCGTGCACGAGCGAAATCGTGAATCTAGTGTCCATTACTCTTCAAGCTTCATGAACAGAAGTGGATGGTCCAAGGTTCAATGTCAAGGTAGAGCTGATACCGCTCATGAGCACCAAGGACTTCATGGGGGTCAGGGCTTACAGTCCTTCTGAAGCCTCTGACATGTCTATGGGACGGAGTGCGAGTAAAGGATTGACAGGCAGGGTCGAAACGTTAGGGCTCCCAGTTCGGAGGACAATGCCTTAAGAGTGCGGGGCTCATGGGACCATAGGCACAGGGGTGCGCCATTCTCAGTGTTCGGGGATCTGTTCTGCCTACACTCTCAGTCACGGCCATCCGCAAGCGACTGCTGTATGGCAGCGAGCTGCGCGCACCAGGTATGATCTTTTCGCTTTGTTCTGATGGTATGCAGAGCTGACTGCTCCGGATGTGGAGTGAGCCCTGAGGAAGCTTACCTTCCTGACGAGTCGAACACCTTCTCTTTGAAGTTTGCGCCCGTGATGCAGAGTTTCCTGGCAGATATTCCTAACTTGTAGCCACCCCGAGGCCCTAAGCTCGCGAAGCTGTGTTTCTCGCCGGACTCGCAGGTCTACAGCCAAGTTGTCATGACTCTGGGCCCCACGCCTGGGCTCTTACACCTCGAAATGAACATGTTATCCAACGCTTGCAACCCACGCGTCAACCACACTAGCCATCGTGTCGAATTGAGGCTTCCTGCCATCGCCGTGTCCAGAATCCGGTCTTGTGGAACATGCGAGACCAGAGGCGAGACAAGTTCGAGTTCTGGGCAGTGTGTACAGAAGGCCACCCATGCACTTTCGATGGCCTTTCGTCCCTTACATCAGCCATCCACTTCAACTGTTGTTTTGAGAATACTCATCTCGCATTCGATAGTGCTTGCAGCATACTTGGCCACATCAAGACTGTGCAGGAAATTGTTCTTTGCAGGGTTGCATTTGGTGTAATTCAGTTAACTTTCTGGACGACGACTTGCGACCGGCCTGACAGCGACAGCTGTGCATGCCAGCCGTACACTTCCCAACGTTTCTGTCATTCGTGTCATTCGTGTCACAAGCCGAAGTGAAAGCTCAGCCCGTACCAAAGCCAATCCTAACAATCCCGCCCGTCCACTTGACTTCAGATGCGCGTCCAGCAGCTCGTGGCAGAGATGCGGCAGATGCCTCTCCTGGGCAGCAGCATCTTTGCCATCACCTGCCAGGTTGGAGCCTACTTCTGTCCAAGAAAGAGTTCTGTTCTTCACCCCTCAACCGACTGGAAGACTCATAGCGGGACATGCGTGTTTTTTACGCGCACATCGTGCGGCATGAAGTTCAGGCTCTCAGGCTTGAGGTCCGGCACTCTGATGCTGTCGGCGAGGTGTGGCGCCGGTACATCAACGAGGTTGCTAGCCTCTCTGTTGCATTTTACATGTGACGTCGAATCCTGATCCCACACTGCTCGACTTTGGGCATGATGTCATCCCCGAAACGAACATGGTCTGAGTCGCCAAGTCAGTCATCAGGCAGGTAGTATAGTAGGCCTAGCACATCGGCCAGACAAGAACCGAATCCCCTGCCGTGACATCGAGGAATGGAGCTGGTAGACACCACGCGCGTAGGGGGCGTGGATGTGACCCGACAAAGAAAGCTCATCAAGAAAGCCGATTCGATCATCTTCGAGCCGCAGGACAGCCTCACTTAGGCCCTTAGGCCACCGTCGACATTTCCACAGCTGCTGATTGCTGTGGAGCCTTTCTGTCTTGAGAGCACAGTGAGTGCTTACCGGCCCGTTGGCTGTGCGTGAGCTACTTGACTGCTAGACACATCTTATCCCGGCAAAGCATGCCCAAATCCTCAAGCCGCATGCCTCGCTGGAAGCCATGTTTCAGCAGCGCCATTCCGCGAATGTCGAATCCCACAAGGCAGAATCCCAGACAACGCCTGCCTGTTGTACAACAGCTTCCCCATCACCTTCGTGAGGGTCCAAGAGAGACTCCCTGTCATCTGTGAGGGGGCGCCGTTGTTATCTATGGCAACGAACAGTATCCAGAATCCCTTCTGCGCTTTTTACATCCTTGAATCCTGAGCCCTTTTGTTTGCGGTCTTAGGCGATGTCAATTCTTGAGCATCGAAGCAAAGCTGGTGATTGAGGGTTCCTGCTAGCTGTCAGCCCCGCCGTCAAGCGCAGGACATGTTCGAGCACCAGAAGAGCCACATTGAAAGAATAACGAACCACCTGAAGCGAGGGTGGCGCGACTACATCATTGCGGAGGCACCGTGAACCGGCATGAGCCACACGAGCCCTTTACAGCAGCCAGAGCAGCGCGCCCCAAAGCTGCAAAGTTCTCTCCACAATCTTGAATCCCATGCATGCAAAATTCCAAATATGTTTGGCGCTTTGCTTGACGGACACTTGGCAAACAGAAAATGGGAGAACAGCTTTTTGGCAGGTCTTGGATAAGCTGTCCGACGACTACAATTTCTTTAGCGATGATACAGAGAAGCACATGCAAAGCCCTTTGCAGCCTGTCGGCGAACCGGAGTCAGTGGGCTCATGTAGGATTTCAATCATCGCGCTGGGGTATGGGTTCTGTGACTTTTTGTCTTTCTGTTGAAGCGAATGGCCTGCAGTAGAGGCGTGCTGGTATGTGTGGGTGTGGGGGGATGCGTGTCCCCATGAGCAGCCAAGGCATGCATTGCTCCGAAAATTAGATGCTTGGCTGAGCCAATGGTTTCATTGACAAAATCGTTGTGACCGCCTCAAGTCTTCGGAAAGACTGCCTCTGCAGTCTTCCAAGCACTTCACGGCTTGCTTCAAGTTCATCTCATCATGTCATAACGTGTCACGACTGGTGGTATTCTTCGAGTCCGTAGAAGCTTGGTAGGCTTCCTGCAGAAGTCCGGAGTTCAGAAGCTTCTTCATGCATAACCACGCCATGTTACGGCAAAAATATGCGCTGGCTTGTACAATTTTGCGTGGAGTGTGCGTGTGCGTGTGCGTGTTCGT